TATAAGTCCTGCCAGCGTCCGTGTCCCGGGTTTGTCCGCCTCCCGGCGCTCGGTGTCTGTCTCCGTCTCCCTCTATCTTCGCTTCTGGTGGTTTGTTTTCGTGGTCGCAGTCTCTCTAGCCTGCCTCCGCGCCCAGCTCTGCCTGGAGAGAGATGCAGGAACCGGGGGCCGACGCAGGTGAGCGGGTCTGGGAGACTGGAGGGCTCCCCCGTCCCCGAGAAGTGGGACAGTGTGACTGTGGGGACGAGCTCGGGGTTAGGAAATCCAGTCTTGGGAGAATATTGAATCAGCCACCCAGACGAGTAACACCTCAGACAGAGCCAGAGAGTATTCTTGGCTAGTTCTATTTTTGTTTTCCTTCCACTGAAGCCAAACCTAAACCTGAGAATTAGCATTTTAGAGGTGCTAAAGGGAACTGAGACTGGGAAAACCTTGCTTACTAGAAGAGGGGTCTGTGGGCTGCGGAGAGCCCTGAGCTGGAACTTAAAAGGAGACCTGGGTCTTGGTGCAGGTTTTGCTCCTGACTCATTGAGTGGCCTTACATATAAGCTTATTCCTCTCCATGGGCCTCAGTTTTCCCATCGGTACCATGACACTGGTTTGGACTACAGGGTCTGCAAAAGTCTGACGTATGATGGGTGCTCCTTAAATATTAGTCGTTTAGGAGTGAATAAGTGAGATAGGCAGGTCTCCTTCTGGAGTTCACTAGAGGCTGACACCTGCATTGGATTAATTGGGAGTCTGTGGAATTACGTTGTATTTGCAGCCTGAGAAATAAGTAGTATTATCTCCATTACAAGTGAGGAATGGGCTCAAAAGTAAAGCAATTTGCTAGTTAAGTATCAAAGCCAAGTCACACTTGAAAGTCCAGGCTACAGTTATTCTCTCTCCCAGTAAGAGAGCAGGGAGGACTTGATTGAAAGGTGATTATATGGAGCAGCAATGAATAATGTGAGTTCTCTGCTAAAAGGAACAACTCTAAAGCAGAACTGTATCAGTCTCTTCTTTATCCCTGGTTCCCAGCACATGGTTCTGTGTGAAATAGTTTGGGCGTCAGTGCCAGAGCCACTATCTATGTTAACACTGTCATCAACATGATCGGCATAATCATAATAAAAACTAATGGTAGTGACTGTAATTGTTGTAGTAATAGCAAAGCTGTAAGTGAAATTGTGAAGACATCAAAATTTATAATAAATTTTACTTATGGTGCTTTAAAGTTTATAAAGTACTTTCCAGTGGTTCTTCATATTGATCATCTTAGATAGGTATTATTATTATCCATATTTTACAAGCAAGGAATCCAAGACCTCAAGAGATTAAGTGACTAGCACAAAGTCACACAATAAAGAAATAGAGTTGGGACACCAATCCGGTTCCATATGACAAGTGGTGCTTCTCCTTTGGCGTGCTCTCCACTTCCTCTCCCTTTCCTTTTCCCTAGTCTTTCCTCCCCACTCTGTGCCTATCCTGTGCTCCATTCTTATCACCTAGAGAATTCTTGTTTCATTGTTAACAAGTAATCATGTTGGCTGATGGTTGATAGTTTTGGATTTTACTCATAATTGAAGTGTTAACTTATAAGAATTTAAAATTTGATCTCTCCCAGAAGTGCAGAGGGATTTAAATGCTTTTAAGAAGGGGAGTTGTAATTATGGTTGTTATTATCATTATCATCATCATCCACAGATATCAAGGAATAAAACTAAAATATGCAGTGATTGACAGTCTAAAAATAATAACTGTCATACAGCCACTTAAACTTTTTAACTTAATTCTCTCAACCACTCTGTTGAATTTTATAAATGAGGATCCTGAAGCATACAGAAGTTAAATAACATGTTCAAAGTCATGTTCAAATCCTGGTTCAAATCCTATGTTCTTAACCTTTATACCAGTTTGGCTCAGGGGCTGATTTTTACTTAAAGCCTGACTTTCCCTGGCAGGAGAGCCTGCATGGGGGGAGAGAGATGCTCTAGTATTGTGTGAAGAAGAAGGTTCACCCATGCCTTTCAATTCTGCTATTGAGAGCCCAGAATTGGAGTGAGGGGGAGTTTTTCTTCTGAACTCACGAGAAGACCTTCCCACACCCCTCATGATAGTGAGCCATGGTTCTCTTTAAGTTAGAAATAGTGACTAAATGAGTCATTCATAAGCTATTGATGTAAGTTTGTTTTGATTGACAGGAGGATACAGCCAAAAGCAATGTAACTTTCCCCTTCAGTTCATTGCCCACAAGGCTACCTGAGAGATTGGTCTAAAATGCATACTTGATCATAAAATTCCTCTGCCAAAAACTCTTGAGTGGCTCCCTATCTGTGGGATAAACACCTTAATAAGGTATCAAAGCTTCTCAGGATCTGGACTCTGCTGACCCCTTCAGTCCCTTCTCTGCTCACAGCTTTTGACCAAGGTAGTCATACTGGACTACTGAGATTCCCCACATACAGCTCACTGTGTTTTCTGTCACTTATAGACTTTTCACATCCACTCTCTCTGCCTGTCTCCTTTTTAACCCTTCAATTGGCTTACTCACTATTTATCCTTTAAGATCCAGCTCACCCAGTCATTCAACAAATAATAGTCAAGTGTCTATCAATTACCAGGCATGGCTCTAGGTGTAAAGGTGTGGCAGAGAATAAAACACCTATCTCTGCCGTTTATGAAGTATCTATTTTGTAGTATATATTTAAAAAGTATAAGGTATGGATAAGTGGCATGGGACTAGAACAGGGAAAGGGGATAAGGAGCACAGGGGAGTTGCCAGGGAAGGCCTCACTGATTGGATGACGTTTGAACAGAGTTGGAGGTGGGGGAATGAGCTCTATGGCTATCTGAAAGAAGAGTATTTCAGACACAGAGTATAAGGATATATGAGACAGGAGCTCTCTTGGCTCAGTTGTTTGTTAGCTCTCCAAAAATCTCTGCTGCCTCAATATGGACAGCTGCCCTTTTCTGTTTTCCTACATGCTCTCATGGTTTACCTCTAAAGTAGCACTTATTACATGCTGTTGTAATTGTCCGTGCTTATGTCTCTTTCCCTCACTAGGGTGTGGGTTTCTTGAGGGCAGGGATCTCTGATTTCTGTCTCAACACCTGCCTTATGTCCTGACTTGGAGTAGGCACACAGAAATATTGATTAAATAAATGAATATGGTCTTATAGGCCTCATTCTTACAGCCTGGTAATTTTTACAAATGGTTTGTAAGATAGGGCTTGGAGGACAGATGAGAGAGAGAGAGAAATAATAATTTTAAGCCTGGGTCTGTCTGGCTGGCTTGATTCCCTTTTTGGGCCTCTGAGAAGGTGAACTCCTGATTTTCTTAGAGACTTCCATTTTCAGGATTATGGCAGGCTATCTAACCTGTAAAATGGTGGATAAAATATAAAAAAGTCCTTTATAGCTGAATTTGCAAGAAAGTAAGAGAAATCCCCAGGGGCTTAAAAAGCAAGAGTAAACTGAAAACCAGAGTAGTTATACTTAGTCCTTTAACCTGATCTCAGCTGCCCGGGATGTTTGCTGGTCTTAGTTAGAAGCTTGGCTTTAGTAGACATGCTGTTACAGTGAATGAAACTTTGGGCCTGTATGGGCTAGACTTTGGTTGGAACTGAGATCCCTGCATAAAGCCATATCCCTTGAAAATCTACACTTTCTGATGAGATGGATGGACTAGGAAAAAAATATATTGCTACTGATCCAGATATGACAAAGAAGATTGCTTTTTATCCATTTCCCCAGAGAATTCTTAAACACAGGCATTTAGATCTGGGTTTATATATATGTTACCCAAGTGGCCTAAAAACTCCAAGCCAAGAAATTGACATTAGAAGTAATATCCCTGGATGCTTGGCATGAAGCGTATGCAGAATCTTTAGAGAGACCCACTTGACACAGGCTGCAGAGAATTCCCACAGAGTCTGGAGGATAGATTTGTTAAACAGGAATGCATATTGCTTGCTTTGTGCTGTTGAGATCATGATGTTACTTTTGTATTAGGAAAAATAAACATCTCTGCCTCTCAGTGATCTCCAGAAATGGAATGATAGAACAGAACTTGTATACAAGCCAACATTTGGATGTGGATACACATTCAGCTGCCTCCTATCCTTGCAGAGGTCATGGAAGAAGTGACATCATGCTCCTTCAACAACCCTCTGTTCCGGCAGGAAGACAAGAGAGGGGTCACCTACCGGATCCCAGCCCTGCTCTACATCCCCCCCACCCGCACTGTCCTGGCCTTTGCAGAGAAGCGCTCCACCTGCAGGGACGAGGACGCTCTGCACCTGGTGCTGAGGCGAGGGCTGAGGACGGGGCCCTCGGTACAGGTGACTCCTTGCCCGGGCGGGCCCATGCCTGCACCTCAGTTTCTCTCCACGTCTGCTCAAAGCAATCAGTGCAGGAAAACCCTTTGTAGGAGTTGAAGAGGAAAAACAATAAAAGCAGTGCCTCTCAGAGTGCTTCCTGTGTGCCAGGGGCACACGGATCCTCTCAGCCACTCTGTGACGTAGGAATTGTTGCCAGTCACATTTCACAAATGAGGAAGCTGAAGCTCAGGAGACCGCTTGCTCAAGGGCACACAGCTGTGATAAAGGGAGAAGAAGCAGGCTTCAGACTTGGTCTCTGACTCCAGAGGCCTCGGTGGTTCATATGTATTTTTCATTCACGTTCTCTTTTATCTTCATAAGTCACCGAAAAAAGTAAACATTGTGAGCCCTGGGTTGTTGATGAGGGATCCTGGTGCTTGAAGAGGTAGGCAGCTTGTTCAAGACCACAAGAAGCAGATGATGGGTTGGGGGTTGTAGGATAACAACAGTCATTCTACTACTGGTGTTCTTCTTACCTCATGCTTTATTCACTTTTATTCTCTGATTTACTCAATTGTAGAATCTTGAAATTAGAAGAGTCATCAGCCCAATTTCCTTCCCAGTATAGAAACCCTTCTGTATTCCATTGGTTGCTACTAATAGCTTAGTGGTTAAGAGCATGGCTTTAAAGTCAGGCAAGACCTACCATTTATTGGCTCTGTGACCTTGATACTTGATTCTTTTTTGTTTCAGCATCTGCAAAATGTAATTAATAATAGCAGTAACATAGTGGGAACTCAACATTAGTCATCTTCTATAAACGGCCTTCTCCTCAAATAATGAACTTAATCCTGTGACAACTGTTAACTCTTTTGGGGGGATGAGATGATCTGTACTCTTCTATAATTACCCATTGGTCTTGTTCTGCCTTCTGGGGCTGTCAGGCTGTACGTAATAAAGTCCCTTCTGCTGAGACTGCTCTTTGATGTACCTGAAAGTGGTGTTCATGCCCTCTGAGTCTTCTGTTTTTGGGGCACAACAGCTTCAGTTCTTCTAGTCTTCTTAGGTCACAGTCTGGATTTGGTTTCTGAGCCCTTGAAAGCTCTGACTACTCTGGGATGTCGGTGTCCTTTTTCAAAGAATAATAACCAGAATTGAACTTAGGATCCAAGGATAGAGCCACCCCATCAATGAGGTGGCTATCCCATCATATCCTTTTCATGCATCCTAATAAGGTAAAGTAACATTTACTTTTTTGATACTGCATAACACAGTTGACTAATAAATATTAAGTAGATGGTCAGCTAAAATCTCCAAGTCTTTTTCACATTTATTGTTCTTTTTTTTTTAAAAAAACAACAACTTTTAATTGTAGTAAAATACACCCAACAAAATTTTCTATCTTAACCATTTTAATGGTATTGTTAACTACATGCACAGTATTGTACAACAGATCTTTTTAAAACTTTGTCCTTGTGCATGACTGCAGTTCTATACACATTGACTCATTTCTCCCTCCCTCCCTCAGCCTCTAGTAACCACTATTCTACTTTGTTTCTATGAGTTCGATTAGTTCAGGTATCTCATATTAGTAGAATCATGCAGTGTGTATCTTTCCGTGATTGACTTATTTCATTCAGAACAGCAATTTTCAACTGATGTGCCTCAAGAATTTTTAAAACATGCAATATCTGACGATTTGGTCAGAGGCACTGACCTCTTTTCCCTTAGACTGTCAAGTAAAAGAAATGACAACAGCCAACACACAATCACTGTCTAGTGTGAATGAATCAAAATTATACCTATTTTTTGGTCAGATTAGCAAAAAATACATTTTTTGTGTGTGTTGCAGAATTTTAGAAATTAGTTTGTGTGTGCCATGGGATGAAAAAGGTTGAAAATCATTGATTTAGAATAATATCCTCAAGGCTCATGTTGTAGCATATGGCAGGATTTCCTTTTTAAAGGATGGATAATATTCCATCGTATGTTTATCCATTCATTGGTTTATTTTGTTTATCCATTCTTCTGTTGATGGAGACTTGGGTTGCCTCCACCTTTTGGCTATTGTGAATAATGCTCTGTGAACATGGTGTACAAGTATGTCTTTGAGACATTGCTTTCAATTCTTTGGAATTGCTGGGTCATATGGTAATTCTATTTTTAATTTCCTGAGCGTCCTCCATACTGTTTTCCATAGTGAGTGTACTGTTTTATTATCCCATCAAAGTGTACATGGATTCCAATTTCTCTATATCCTTGGCAACTCTTATTTTATGTGTTTTTTTTATAGTCATCCTAATGAATATGAGGTGATATCTCATTGTAGTTTTGATTTGTACTTTCTTAATTATTAACAATGTTGAGTATTTTCTCATATGCTTGTTTGCCATTACATTTGTTGTTCTTTAATCAAGTTTCTCCATCCAGACTTTTTTTTTTTAATCCTCACCTGAGGACATTTTCCCATTGTTGTCAGAGAGAGTGGAAGGGAGAGAGAGGGAGTGAGAGAGAGAAACATTGATGTGAGAGAGAGAGACATCGATTGGTGGCCTCCTGCACAAGCCCCAACTGAGCCTGGGGATAAGCCCGCAACCGAGGTACATGCCCTTGGCCTGAATTGAACCTGGGACCCTTCAGTCTGCCAGCCGACACTCTAATCACTAAGCCAAACTGGCCATGGCTCTCCATCTAGACTTTTAAGCCCAAGACTCATTTTACTTGTCTGTCAAGCCTCAGCTTATTTATATTCCATTGCGGCAGCTGGTTGAGATCATTTGGATTCTAATGCTTTTCATCTTTAGTTTATTGTTTTTTCTAGCCTCATATAAACTTTATTTTAGACATATCTGGCCCAAATAATTTTCTCCTCTCAGCTACTAAGGATGGCTGAACTTCTGACTTCCCAATGACTAGCCTGCCCAATACAGTAACTTTCCCCCCTCCTTTTCCTAAAGGGAGTAGCAGTGCGGATGGGTTTCTTATATCTTACTCAAGGTTCTTGATCTGAGCAAAATTAGTTATTCAAATGAGTTTGCTGCAGATGAGTTATTTCTCATTTGGATTCTAATGCTTTCATCTTTATTGTTTCTTCTAGCTTCATATAAACTTTATTTTAGACTTATCTGGCCCAAATCATTTTCTCCTTGCACGTTCAGTGCTATTCAGAAAGTGTTGGTGTCCACACAGCATCTTATATAGAGTATTGTTTCTACCTGAGAGCATTTCTATAATCCTTCCCTTCACTCCTCCCTTTCATTTTTCCCTCCCTCCTTCCCTTCTTCCTTCCTCCATTCCTCTCTCCTTTCTTTCTCTCTTTTTCTTCAACAAACATTTATTGAGCACCTACTATGTACCAGGCATTTAGTCAAGGGGGATGTGTGGAGGGAGGCAGTACAAAAGTTGACAGATTGTGGCCTCTCTTTGCGAAGAATTTGCACAACTGAATTGCATAGAAAAAGCAGAACTGTGCACAGATGCAACTGTCTAAAACTCCCATACAGAATTCATAAGGCACGTCTACTCAGAATGGGGTATTTCCTTAGAAGAAGGAATTAAAATGCATTCGAGGTTAAGAGGAGCTATTGTGGGTCATGGCATTTAAGCTGATTCTCGAAGTGATGAGTGGGTCGAAGGTGAGCAGAATCAAACGTTTCTCCCTGAATTCTCCACATACAGAAATGGTCTTTTCCTTCTCTAACGTCCACAGTGCTTTTCTCCTCTCTGATGGTATCTGTGACCATGGAGTCTGCTCTGTGGGTGCCTTTTCCCTCCTCAGGGCAGGCTGCCTGCTGCCTCCTATTGGTGGCCTCCTGGACCTTGATTATCTGAGAGTCACAGGGAACTGAGGTCCTGCCTCCAGGGGTTTAAAATATAGTCAGACAGTGATGTGAACTTCTTTTGCATAGAGAGTTCCCAGAGAGTAACAGTGCTATTGGGCAGGATTTAGGAAGCAGGCTTCAATTAGTTAGCAATCCGGGAGAGCTTTATAGAGGAAGGCGGGCTTCTGCCCAATAACGTTGACTTTGGCACATATGTTTGAAATGTTTACAGTGCACAAGGCACTCTGCTATAGAATGGGCTGCTTCAGACATAGTGAGTTCCCTGTCCTTAGACTATTTCAGGGAGGGACTGAATGGTCTTTAGCCAGAAAACTGAGAAGAGAATCTTTCATATGATGGAAGTTAGCACTAGGTCCTTATGATTTTGAGAATCTGTGATTTGAGCTTTGCTTAATAATACTTTTTGCCCATTCACATAGGAATTACATTTTTAAAACTTATTTTTTTGTTTTGTTTTGGCTTGTTAATATATTTATATGGATGAAAAATAAAAACAATATAAAAAGGTATACATCCCATTTCCAGTTTTCTACCTCCTGTAGGCAGTCACTGTGTTTCTTATGTATCCTTAGTGCTTCTTCATACAGAAACAAAGAAATACAAGTATATATCCAAAATACTCCCTTTTAAAACTTTTTAATGTGAAGTGATAACACTTATACAGAAAACATAAGGCGTAACATAAATGTCAACTGCACAAAACATAAATGGCAGCCTTGAATTGACAGAGCCAATCCTTGTGAATTCACCACTCAATTCAACTCAAAAATAGAATATTGCCAGCACCTAGAAGCTTCTTATCTTATGTCTCTTCTCTCCTTCCTAGAGGTAATTACTATACTGATTTATAGTCTCAAGTTTAGTTTTGCTTGTTTTTAATCTATGTATTCATTTTTAAAACTTTATTTTTTAATTATAGTTTTCACTCAGTATTATTTTGTATTAGTTTCAGGTGTACAGCATAGTGTTTTGACAACCATATACTCTGTGTATCCTTTATGTTTGGCTTCTTTTATTCAGTATTATATTCTTGAGCTTTATCCAAATTAGGTGTACAGCTGTGATTTGTTCATTTTCATTGTTACATAGTATTCTGGGCCAGATATTCTCCTCTTCCTGGCTCTGGTGCTTTGGGCTGGTGAGCCTAGCCTGGGGTTGAGACTCCTTGCTTCTCAGGAGGGACCTTTGCAGCTGAGATATTCCACTACATGTGGTTGCAGGGCCAGCCCTTTTTGTGTCTCCGCCCTACCTACCAGTCTTGATGTGGCTTCTTCTGTAAATCTTTGGTTATAAGACTTCTGTTCTGTTATCCATGTTGGTTATTCAGGTTGACTGTTCTGTAATTTATTTGTAATTCCGGTTTGGTCCTGGGAGGAGGTGAGTGTAACTTCCACTTACTTCCCCACCATCTTGGGTCTCTCCCAAAGTGAGTAATTTTATATATACTTAATTTGATGAGCAAATGTATCTTAGGATAAATTCCCAGAATTAGGCATGCTGGGAAAGGGTAAATGCATGTGTAATTTTGATTGTCCTACCTAAGTGTTAAACCATTTTGCACTCCATATTTGAGAGTGTTTATTTCTTCACTTTTTTTTTTGGTCAACAGAAGAGTATTGTCAAAGTTTGTTGCCAATTTTTTAGATGAAAAATACTACCTTAATTTTAATTTGCTTTTCTCTTTTATATGTGAGGTTGAACAT